GAAGCAAGGCTGGTTTAACTCCACTTTCTTTCTATATTCTTTCCCTGGAAATGCTTCAGTCTTGGGGTGTTCCCTCACCACAAGATCCCAGAGAACACTCATTCAGGGCCCAATAAACAATGCCATTTACTTGCTCACTCAAATCCTTCCTTAGACACAACCTGAGCTATGACGACCAGTATGGGGTGTGCGTGTGTGTGTATGTGTGTGTGTGAGAGAGTGTGTGTTCTTAAACCTGCTTCCAACTAGGCTGAGGGACAAGGGACTGTGCAGGGTGGGAGGGATTCCCCTTCCTCTCTCTACCCTCACCCCAGGAGAGGATCAGCACCTGGGAAGTCAGTTATGATCTGGTTTTAGACTTGTGAGGGAAGGTTATGATGTGATGATAAAAGATTAGGCCTAAATCATGTTCCTAAATTTGTCACTTAAATAAAAAACAAATACATGAATGTGAAAATGTTCAAGTCTCTAAAAATAAATCTGCATATGGTGTTCTTTGTTCATCCAGATGTTGATATAGCACAATATTATTTTTTTAAGAAAGGAACCTCACTGCATTTGGCATGTGTGGTAGACTGAATAGTGGCTCCCCAGAGATGTGCATGTCCTAACCTCTGGAAACTATGAATAAGTCACCTTACCCAGTAATGGGACTTTAAAAATGTGGTTTAGTCAAGGATCTTGCTATGGGGAGGGGAGGGTTTGACTTGGATTATTCCAGTGTAGTCACAAGGGTCTTTATGAAGGGAAGAGAGAGGCAGAGCGAAATACCCAAAGGTATACATAGCTCAAGAAGGACTTGATTCACTGTTGCTGGCTTTGAAGATAGATAAAAAGGGTCACAAGCCAAGGAATGTTTTAGAAGATGGGAAAATCAAGGAGCAGAGTTTTTCCCCTAAAATCTCCAAGGATGAATACCTGTAGACACTTTGATTTCAATCCAGCAAAACTGATATCAGATCTCTGACCTCCAGAATTTTAAGCAATGAAGTTTATGGCAATTTGTTACAGCAGCAAGAGCAAACTAATAGGTGTATTTCAGTCTTACACAGAACCCACAATAAGAGTCCTTCCTACTGATATTAAGAAATACAAACAGAATTCACCTGTCACCACAGACCATACTCTGTGGATACCAAAACGAAACCACAAGAAGCAACATCAAGGAAGAAAAACTAGAAAGTTTATGGAATTCTATTCATTGTCAAGGGTAATTACAAACTTGCTTGGGTCCCAGTTTTCACCCTGACTACTTATTAATGTTTGCAGGTCACACCATGAATTTGCAGTTTTCATTAAATTGCTTGAATTTCTAGTCTTGGATGGAAACAAGTTCTGTCAAGAATTAATGTGTTGACACTTGTAATCAAGTTGTAGGCTGTCCTTACTTAACTAACAGACTCTAAACTTGTGTAGGGTTCTGCTGACCCACAGCCTGCCTTCATTTCCTCGCCTTCTAACAGGCACAGAGCAGAAAGCTACGGGACAGTGGCCCCTTTGAAGCGGCAGTGACGCCTCTGAGGCAGAAGCAGCATCCGCTGTGTGTAATCTACTAAACAGCACCAAACCAAGAACAGAGGCTCCCACAAAGCACACAGCTTCTTGGGACACTTGGGACAGACCTGGAACATGAACTTTTAAAGGAGGAAGAGGGAAGGGAACAGAATGGGAAATTCAGTCAGTTCCTACAGCAAATTCCAATTCATTCCCAATTTTTAAAAACCGGGGTTTAGCATTAGAATGGGACAGCATATGGCAAACTTCAGTTTGCAGAGTAGCAGAATAGAATGGCACAGCCCTTAACATGAAAATGGCTCTAAATTTAACTTAATCTCATTGGTGATTTGGAAGTTGCCTCAGGCTTGTGCAGTATTTTCTGTCCGGGTCATGAATATTCACCATTAGGACCTGGCACCGTAGAGAAAAAATTTGGGAGATCTGAACCTTCCATTTGCTGGCTTCTTGAAAATCTGGCATACAGAGACTTTCATTAGGGAATCTTTGTCCTTCCAAGTAAGACCAGAAGGTTTCTGTGGGCCTGTTAGTGGACTGAGATACTTTACAGAGAAGAAAATGCCTTGTTAAGTTAAAAGATTCTTCATTTTTATGAACCATTTTTACATTTGGAACTGAACATGAGTAAGTCAGCAAAGGCTCAGCCAGGGCTTCCAAGTAGCACCTTCTGCACCCTGCAATTTTCTCACTCGCTTTTGCAAACTGGATTCAATAGCACAGGGTGTCGATTTTCCTCCCTAGACTATTTATTCCCTAGTAGATGCTAAACCACAGGTATGGGATGAATCTGTGAATGGTCCTTACTCTCCATAAGCCTGTGTGATCTGGACAGTTTTCCCTACTGATGGGCTACATCTCCATCAATATTGTGACCAAAACTTGATGAGAGGCAGCTGGGAGAACCCTGCTAACAGGGGATCACATGGTGGCTGATGGAGAATTACTTTTCCCCTTCGATCTCAATCAGGAAGCAATTCTCTCCAAAAGGAAAATGTTCTCATCTCTTTCACTGCAGTGAGACAGAGCGAGGACTGGAGTACAGCTCTCCCACAGAAAAAGGAGAGCCAAAAATAAGGCTAATGAAAATGAATCCATCTTAAATTTAAATTTTTGCTTAATTAGCAAAGATTAAGAAAAATTGGACAGTGTAATGAGATGGGGCAGCCTTCACTCACTTGGGGTTTTATCTGGGAAATAATTTGGCAGAGGGCATCAAGAGCTTTAGAAATGCTCATTCCCTTTGGCCCAGTGATTGCACTTCTGGGAATCCATTCTAAGAGAATAATCCTAAATATAGAAAAAACTTCATGCATAGGAATTATTTGTTATTTTACTCTTAAAAGTCACAAAGTTTGTATAATAATGAAAACTGGAACTAACCAACATATCCAACAATATGGATAAAAGAAGTATACATTATAATATAGTACATGACTATAATGCAGTCATTAAGGTACTTCAATGAAAGTTTTTATAAGAAATGCTTGTGTTATTATGTGAAGTGAAAATGGCAAGACACAAAATCTTCATAGATATTATGAAATCAATCAACTATTTTTAACAGCATGGAAATAGAACCAGGAGGATATATTGGAAAATTACTAGCAGTGATTCTCTTTGTGGACAGGGTATGATTATGGAGAATTTTTCTCTTTCTCTTTATACTTTGCTATGCTGCCCAAATTTTTACAATAGACATTATAATTTTCATACATTTATCTTCAGGGGAGGGGAGAAATCCTCTATTTTTGTTTACAATTTATATCTGTGATGGATGAATTTCATGCAGCTTACTCAGATGGTTACTGTTCTGGGTGAAGGAAAAGCCAGTGATAGTTTCCCCTGGAAAAAGTAGTTGGCAGATGTTGGAGTTTCCTGCACTGGAGGGTCGCCTGGATTCCTGCTCCTGTACCCCTGCCATGTGTAGCTGTCACTCTAACTGCCCATGTGGGTCCAGTCCCCCTGTCCACAAGCAGAGCCAGACCTCAGCTCAAGGGCTTGATGACAGTTCAGCCTTGGGGACACTTTCGGGCTCAGTATGTGGAAATAGGATTCCTGCGGTTCCTTGAAAGCAAATGCTGCTACACCTCCACCTCATCCTGACTCCTTGTCTCCTGTTGTGACACACACTCCCACACACCCTTCCTGCACCCCCCAAAATCCCCCAGGGACAGCACTGAACCCAGATGACCTAGGATGAGTTTCTTAGATGAGCACCTCATGAAGACAATGTCTACTCTCTTGTGCCTGCTGTCTGCTTCCAGATACTTCTCTCTTGTGCTCTACTCACCTGCCAAGACTGTGAGTGACCCCTCCTGGTTCTGCCTGCCCAGCTAATCCTTCATGGTGCTTCAGCTGATGCTCTTCTCATCCTCTCTTGAGCCTTGTCTTGTCTCCTCTGGGTTCCACTCACTGGCTAACAAGCTGTCATTGCAGTGATGATAGATCCTTATGCCCCTTCCATGATGCCCCAAAGTTTTGCTAGAGTCTCACAAAGAAGATGTGGCCAACATTAGGGCTCCTCCTGTTCTTTGCAGGAAATTTATTCTGGGTGAATGACTTGGGGAAATAAATGGGGTGCCTCTTATTAAAATGATGGAGACCTTGATTCTACAGTGCTTGTATCTTTGATGAGATAGAACCTAGAACAGAGAGTCTAATAAACTTGTACATTAACTCTGGTGATGATGATGAGCTCTTCTATAGGGCTGGGATTTTGCTCAGTGTTGAACATGAAGAATAAGTCTAATCTTAAGATAACCCCATCACATGGTTTGGTACCACTGGTAGTTCCATTTTACAGATGAAGAACACTGAGGCTCACTTAGGTACCCTTGGTTAAAGTCACAGAGGTAGTGACTGGAAGAGGCAAGATTTGAACCCAGGTCAGAGTTTTATCATTAAACATCACGCTTCAGGGGATATAACTGCCAAGGCTCCAGGTCCAGGCAGATCACAGCAATGAGCGGATGGGGTGGCTACAGTGAATATGACCAACTGAAGCATGTGTGCCCATTGTAGGGTGAGTGTCACCCCAACACCCGGTGACTTATTTCAGGAAAGAATGTGGGCCGGAGCTCCTGAGTTTTCAAGAGAAGCCAACCAATCTCCAATCTTCCTGTTTTATACTATGGGCTCATCATTTTCAAGGACATGGGGGAGAAATAATCGATGTCCAGGTGGGCCACCAGCTTGCAACCTCTGCAATGTGCTATATTATTATATGGGATACATCCCAATTTTTTTTTTTTTGTGTTGCAATCTTGGCTTTTCTTTTCTTTTTTAATTTTATTTTTATATTCCCCATACAATTGCAACCCCCTAATTTTGACTCCAATCCCTCCTTTCCCCGCCCCCCCCCCAAAGTGTGTCTCTGGTTCATAGTTGTTTGTTGATTTTGATTTTTTTCTTTCTTATAGTTATTCACTTCCCAATTCTTACTGTGACTCATGCTTTTCTTTTTTTAAAGGGTGAACGCTACATACCTGCACAATTTCTAGCATCTCTGCCTTGCTGATGTAGCCATTTCCATCCAGGTCATACATGCTGAAGGCCCACTTCAGCTTCTGCTCCAGCTTCCCCCTTGAAGTGACACTCAGGGCGATGATGAATTCTCTAAAGTCTATTGTCCCATCTCCATTGGCATCGAAGGTGCGGAAGACGTGCTCTGCAAATTTGGAAGCATCCCCATAAGGGAAAAAGTTCCCGTAAATTTTCTTAAACTCTTCCATTGACAAATGTCCACTGGGGCAGTCTCTCAAGAAGCCTTTATACCATTCCTGGATCTCATGCTCTGTAAAGTCTGTGCTTTCCAGCAAGTCTTGCATGACCTCCGGGCGCAGCTTGCTATTCTGTTTCCCCATTCTGGCAGCAAGAATTTAGCTACAGATAGAAAAGAAGATAGACAATTTAAATTAATTAATTAATTAATATTTTCATGGAGATAACATGGTTTGCAACACTATATGTGGTTTAGGACTACAGGTTCACACCGCAGATGTATGTTACCATACCACCACCCAAGGACCCTTAGTCCTTTACCACAGACTATTGGGCCCTGTTTCCTTTTGCTCTCACACTCACCCTCTACATAAAATTTTTAGACCTATTCTCTGGGGACACCATTTATAAATTGCAATTGTTCCTTTGGGAAAAAAGGAAGAAGCTCTCTTCTAGTTCAGTAATTGTCCGGGGTTTACAGCAATAGCGATCAGCCAGACAAAATGACAGGCAGAAGACGTAGAGCAGAAGTACCACCGACCAGAAAACAGATGTTTCTTATACTGAACTAACCTGAAAACAGAAGATTCAAAATGAGAGAGAAAAAAAATGAATTCTTTAATTCTGCCTTACCTATTTGCAAGAGCTTGGATTTAAGGAGACTGAGCTGCTGACACCCAATCCTAGTATGAACAGGAAAGGGCCTCCCTAGTGGCACAAGGGGTTAAGACGCAACCTATGAAGCTTTCCCAGCCACTGAAGCATGAGTTCAATCCCCAGCCAGGGAACTACCCACATGGCACAGCAAACCTCTCCTGTCTCGCCCGCTGCTCCCCTCAGCAGTGTGTTTTAGTCAATCTGCCTGTTCTGTCTCTGGTGAATCCTCTCACAGCCCCCCCACACCTCTGGCCTGTACCCCAGTTCTTGTATGCATAAATAAATAAATCTTTTTTTAAAAAAAGAATTAAAGGAGAGAAAGAGGAAGTAAGAGATCAAAAGAGATGATTTAGCATGTTTTATGGCCAGAATATTTCAAGCAAAGTGCTGTCTGGGTACCTTATATATATTATAAGTATAGACAAGAGTTAGGAAAACAGAAATTTGATGTCATTACATGCTACCAAGCTAAGTCAGTTATTTAAGTTCCCAAAGTGAAGTCACTGACAACAGTGGGTTTATATGATAAAGACAATGCATTTTAAAGTTATTTTATGTCTTACAATTATTTATTATGAAATAGGACAAACTTTCCTTTTTAAAATATAATTTACTTCATATTTTCTTAGCATAACAGTAGCACACATCTATAGTCAATGGCAAAACAACACAGTGAGGTAAAAGAAAAAAGTCAACATCTTTTCAAATCTTAACATGTGGCAATATTAACCACTGCTAGTATTTTGATATATGTCCTTCCAAATTTCTTGCATGCATATTTATCTAAATATGCTAATAATCTATTTTAAAATATTTACATTAAAAATAACATATACTCTTTTGTTACTTATTTTAAAACTTAATACATTGTGGGGAACAAAGGCAACTTTTACCAGATGAAGACATACTTGCAATTAACCTTTTCCCATTCATACAGCCATTCAATATTCATCAATAGCCATACATCAGACATGTTTCTGGCACTGAAGATGCAAAGAGTAAGGTTTGGCCCTTTTTCCTAATGAGTTGAGAACCCACAGGGGTGGTTGTGGCAGTGAGGGGATAATACAATAAGAGTAGGGCTAGATCTGTTATCATAAGAGTACACAGAAAGACACCCAAGTCAAATGGGAGCATGGAGGTTATCAGGGAAGCCTTCCTGGAGAGGTGGTATCTGACCTTAATTCCTATTTCCAAAGTTTTATGATTTACATATGATGAAGAGAAACACCTCATAAAGGGATTCTGCACTTATATTTTGCATTTTTCCTATATTAGAAAAAAATTCTTAGGCTTGGAAAATGATAGAATATAAGAGATACCACATCTCCATTTAAATCATGTTTTCTAATTTCCTCTGAGGTTTCACATTTTGTAGTGTGTGTTTGTTTCTGTTTGTCTCCCTCCTACTACATGGTCAGCCCTTTGGCACAGAGATACCATTGTGGTTACTTTGTCTTTCTAGATCTAGATAGACAAATAACATTTGGTGAGTTACTGAATGAAGGAATGACTGATAGTTAAGTAATTACAATATGTAAATATGAACTAAACTTGGAAAAGGAGGCTTTCCCCTACAAAGATGAGGCCCTGGCTTTCAGAATGCTATTTAAGACTTGGTCTTGGAAGGTCTCTCTGTTTCTATTCCAGTTTTATTACAATATAATAGACAGATGATATGATAAATGTTTGAGGCGTACATCCTAATGGCCAGTATAGGCATCGACGTGAAATCATTACCACAGTAAGTTTAGTTAACCTCATTTCATATAATTAACTTTTTTTCTTATAATGAGAATGTTTAAGACCTACTCTCCTGGGCCTCCCTGGTGGTGCAAAGATTAAAATCTCAGTACTATCAAGCTATCACCAGCCGCTGTGGTATGAGTTTGATCCCTGGCCAGGGAGCTAACCCACATGGCGCAGCAGACCTCTCCTGTCTCGCCCACTGCTCCCCTCAGCAGTATATTTCAGTCAATCTTCCTGTTCTGCTCCCCACTCTGTCTCTGGTGAATCCTCTCACCCCCCACACCTCTGGCCTATGCCCAGTTCTTGTATGCATAAATAAATAAAAAAAAAATCTTCAAAAAAATCTTGGCAACTTTCAAACACACACTGTTGAAGTCACCATGCTGTATAGCACAGCCCCAGAACTAAATATTTATTTAAAATTGGAAGTTTTTATTCTTTCCCCCCAAGTTCCCCACCTTACCCCCACCCCACCCTTTGGGATCTGTTCTATGGAATTGCCTACACACCTGTCTGTTGTGCCCAATAGGAATAAATTCCTCAGAGGGGAGCATTTGCATCTCACACTGCCCACACTTCGTCCATAATATCCACAGTTCAGGAAATGAACAGCAATCCCTGTGACTTGCCAAGTTGATTAATTTTCTTTTCTGAGTTCTGCACTGGAGGCAGAAGCCAGCTGTGCTCTCGCTTCTCACCCCATGCAGGCACCCCCTTAAAGGATGGGAGGAGGCACTCAGTCCCTTGCATCTGGCCCCCCATCAGGAAGGCGCTTCCTTTCAGAGGTCTCCCTTCATGTGCAACCAGGCACACACTCCTTTCTGCAGGAGCAAAATTAAACTACAACTCCAAGCAGAGCACAGAAAGAATTCATAAATTGAACATTCCATTAACTTTCACTTCCCTCGTGCACCACTTTTTTTCCTCCAGGGAAAAATAAAGCAAAGTTAGAGAGGCTGGTTTGTGTTAGAATTTTAAAACTGTCACTCAGTTGCTAGTTGGCAATATGCCTGAGGTGAGAATTCAGAAAGATGAGGTAATATATTATACATGCATTTACAGAGCTCTGAAACATTTTATGGAATTGGCAAGTAATTTTGAGTTTTCCTTTTGGGCAGCTCCTCAGAGCATAGTTCTTTGGTGTGGTATTTGATCAAATCACCATTATCACGCTTCAGTTCTGCACAAGTCACCTTGTGCCTGGCCTTGAGGGAAAAAAAATGCTATTTTGATATTTAAATCTCCTCACTTACAGAATGATTTCTTTACCTGGACCTATAAAGTGCTGTTTCTTCAAGTGCTTCCCATTTATTAGCTGTTTTTGCACTAGAAACAAATTGCCTCAACATTTTGGCTATGTCTCCCACTGAGACTGATCTGTGTACAGCATTTTTTCGATAAACAGTAATTAAACCACATTTACAAATTCACTAGCACAGAAAGACCATAACACAAACAAGGGAGAAGAGCATGGAATAAGTTATTTGGGAAGTGGGTGTTTGTAATTGAGTCCAGAATTTATTTCAGCAGATAACTACAAATACTTTACTAAGTACGATGACTGAATTTGAGAAAACCATCTGGACTTGCTTAGACTATACAACGAAAATCTCAGGGGACATACGATAGTGGTCCATTCCTTGGGGGAGGAAGAGGGAAGCCAGAGGAATGCCTGATAATACCTTTTTCTTTCGGAAGACAACGTTGTGCTTGTTTGAGCAGATGAGAGGAAAACAAGCAGCATCTGGGAAATGCTACATTAATGAGCAATCAAGAAAAAAAATGATCTGGAGACGAAAACTGTACCTCAGGTCAAACCCTTTTCATGACTCTATGTAGTCATTTACTTTGGACCAGTAAGACATAATGGGGGAAACGCTCAGGCCATGGAAGGAAAATGCCAGCATTAAAGCCTGGCTCTATGGTGGACCTGGAGCCACTGCAGAAGTTTCAGCAGGAGTTACAGCCTAACCCGATCCCTGGCTACTGTGCCGAGAGTAGGCTAAGGAAGGGCAAGGGCGGAGTGGTGAGACCAGTCAGGTCATAAAATGTTTTCATTTAGAGCCTCCCCGGTGCACAGCGGTTGAGCGCTGGGTTGCAAAGCTGCCCGCAGCTGCTGCGGCGCCGGTTCGATCCCCGGATGCTCCCCGGCCACTGGAGGAGGGTCCCACATGGCGACTGGGTGAAGGTCCCACATGGCGCGCAGACCTCTCCTGCTGCCCACTGCTCCCCTCAGCAGTGTACTTCGGTCCTTCTGCCTGCTCTGCTCCCCGCTCTGGCTCTGGTGAATTCCCTCTTCCTCCTGTGCTTCTGACTGTACCCAGTGCTTGTATAAATAAATGAATAAATAAATCTTTAAAAAAAAAGTTTTCATTTTCCACAGCCCACAGCTCGTGCTGGAGCTCACATGTGTGTCTGTCTCGCGCACTTCTCACCTCGGATCAACGGGAGAGCAAATTGTGCTACTGAACTGATTTTACAGATGTGAAAACTAAGGTGCACCGGGAAGTTAAACAAACAGAAAGGGTGACTTTTTCCATTTTATAAGCAAAGAAATGAAAATCCAGAGTGGCTGGGTAACCGGTCCCACGTCACACAGTTTGTGATTGGACACAGAATGGTCACCTCGTGTGGAGCTGAGCGCCCTCTGCATCTACCACTACTTACTAGTTCCATGGACAAAGCATGCACAAGATTAAGACAACAGTCCCACGAAATGTCAGAAAGAAGTAGTGGAGAGGAGACAACTTCCCATC